TTTTTGCCTTACAGATTTTTAGTTTTTTCCTGTTCTCGTTTGATTTTAACAACGACGTCGACTTTTTCGTTCCTCCATTGCCACGATGTTGACTTTGTAACCACACCTTGTTGTTTCCAGGCTCCACGGATATTATGCTGAGGTACCGGGCTTCCTAGCTCCAGACTCCTCTTCTAATTGTATTTTTGTTTTTTGTTTTTTTTCCTTTTCCGACCGACCGACCCAAAATCAGAAAACGCATTCGACAATAAACGAAAAAAAAAAAAAGGGGGATGGCCTAATCTGCGATCAGGCGAGTTTTTTTTACGCTCACCTTTACAGTCCGCTAGAAAAACTACGCCTGAGACATTTTCACTTTGACCGACTGGCATTGATTAACACGGCCACTAATAGCCAATGAACATTACTTCCGGCACAATGTACTACAATCGTGAGATCGTTCGTGAGTGTACGCGCGGTTCGAAGCATGTTTCATCACCAAATACTGGGAGGTGGAGGTTTTGCGGTAAATTCAGTCTAGATTTGATACTTGGACGTTAACAAAGAAACGGAGGAAAATTCTAACTCTGTAGATCCTCGACTTTCTTGTGCACCGTTCAAGAATGTTACACGGAAGCAGATTCATTTTTTTGGAAGACAAGAAAAAGAAAACCACAGCCGTATACTCTAAACAAAATGATTAAAATGACAAAAGTGAAAATAATACTTATCGTTATTATTATTTGTAGAGAAGCGAGAGGTAACAAATTGTGGGCTAAACAAAATATGTTATTTGAAAAGGAGCATTATTACGCAGAAAATAAAGCGCACTGTTTTTATTTCGGGGAAAAAAAACCTCAAGAGAAGAGTGAACAGATTCAGTACGTTTTTAATTATTGTTTTTCTCAGCTCGTGAGCGGGCGGAGTTCGGCAACAAATCCTGCAATTTGATTTGTTGCGGGAGCGGTCGGTAATCGTCAATCTTTTACCTTTTTCACTTTTCCATCGGAGATTACTCAACTTAAGTTTATCTCTATTCATTTTTAAATGGCAAGGAAAGTCGCAGTAAGTAAATTCAACTGAGTGTTTTGAAGTTGTGAGAGTTTGTTTGGCCGTTTGTAGCTCGACGCTGTAATTGCGCGTAATCCTGTGTTTCTGTCGCCACAAAATTTTAAGCAAACAATTCGTCAATTACAGTCGAGTTTACCTCTCTGAGCGTTGCTGTATTTAAGAGAATTTCTGTGGAATACACTTAACAAATTTCCTCGCTTTCTGTTATTCCATTTACGGTAGAAAAGTCTGATTTCGAGTGATTCGCGGTCGCAACGACTGACAGAAATTATTTTTGTAGTACAACTATAAACTTTGCAGGAAATTTCACACTAGATAAAACAATTTTGGAGAACTTAACTGGTGAACTTGATGCAACTAACATAAAGAAGTTCGAAATAAATCTGTTCTTTAATAGATCTTTCTTTGTCTGGTATCAGAGTTACTCGCTCGTTCCCTCGTTAGATTTTTTTACGAATGGTTACGAAAGCCGATTTACGGCAGGAAAAAAAAAATGTGTTATTTGCCTGCTTACGGTCGGTCCGTAGAGTGACACACTGTGACCTCGGGCTTGAAAATGCAGAATTATTAAGACCTCCGGGTAACAGTTTTTCACTTTACGGAACTCCCAGCCGGCAAATAACACATTGACTGGAAATTTTAACATTTGTGCAAAGTATCACGTCGACTTTAAAAAAAGCCGTACATTATTTTCGTCATTTGTCACTCGTAACACACTCAGTTTTGTTATTTTTCACTACTGTTCAATTGAGAAATGCAGTGCTGTTGTTACTGTAGCCAACTGATGTGTCCTTACTTACAGTGGGTGGATGTAACAATTACACAGACCTGAGTGAAGCAGACCGCGCCCAAGGACAAATAGTGATCAACGGCAACTATAGATGCGATTGGAACCTGGTAACAGGTTGGTATCGTTTCCAAGGAGCTGCTGGAGATCGCATTGCGGACAAATGTGTTCCCATGCGTCACTGCGGTACTGCAATTCCAGGTTGGCTCAATGGCGCACACCCGACGATCGCCGAAGGTGTAGTCACTCGTAGAGTCTGTTTTTCCTCGTCAGACACCTGCTGTTACCGGTATAACAATGTCAGAATAAAGAACTGTGGCGCGTATTTCTTGTACCAATTTTCGAGGCCGTATCAATGCTATGCTGGGTATTGCGGTAATGCAAACGCAGGTAAGTTTCTCGGGATTTTTTAATTATTTCAGTGGGCAGCCAAAACATCAATTTTTCATTTAAATAAATAGGCAACACGTTTTTACTGTTGCGGAACAGGTTAAATTGATGGTTAAATTAATTGTATTCTTTTGGAGAAAAAGGTGATTGTCGAAAATCACTTTGCATACGAGACTCGAGAAAGTCTGCGTGCAAACATGGCGGCCCATGAGGCCGACGTTCATCTCAGGTTTCTCAGGCTACAATTATTCATAGATTTCCACTCCCCCATAGATGGAGAGCTACTAGTTCACCCAAGATAGTCCTCCAGCATTTAATCGCCACACCCATTTTTAACTCTCCTGCTACCTGCGTGCTGTACATCTATCACTTGTGACTTGCTCGGTTTTGTTATCTGTCAGTACTGTTCAGTTAAGCAACGTAATTCATCTTGTTACCGTAGCCAACTGATATGTCCTCATTTACAGTGGATGGGTGTAAAAATTATACAGTCCTGAGTGAAGCAGACCGCGCTCAAGGACACGTGGAGATCAACAACAATTTTAGATGCGATGCGCGAGACCTGGTACCAGGTTGGTATCGTTTCCAAGGAGCTGCGGGAGATCGGATGGCGGAGAAATGTGTTCCCATGAATCATTGCGGCAGTGACATGCCAGTTTGGTTTTCTGACCCACACCCGACAATCGCAGAAGGCGTGGTCATTCGTAAAGTCTGTTTTCACTATTCAAACAAATGCTGTTTTTGGCGTTACAACATCAGAATAAAGAACTGTGGTGCGTATTTCGTATACGAGTTACTGGAGCCGCGTTCATGCTCAGCTCGGTATTGTGGTAACGGAGTCGCAGGTAAGTTTCTCAGGATGTTTTTAATTATTTCAGTCAGCAGCCAAAACATCAAGTTACAGTAAGGATTTAAATTTGTTTAGGCAACACCTTTTTACTGTTGTGGAACAGGTTAAGGTTAAACAACACCTTCGCGGTGCCCTTCAGAAAAAATTCATACCAGCGTTAATTTTAAGGAAACTACCACAAACTATATGTCAATAGAAAGGCTATAAACTGTAAATTTCGGGAAAAATACCTACTATTTTGGCCGTGCCTTTGTGGAGAAGAAAGAAGATGGAAAATGGAAAACGACCGACTGTTATTCGGCCGAATTAATCTGGTATCAAACGCAGTGTTAATCAGCAAGCATCAATCTCTCAAATCGTGTCGGGGTTTTCCTGTATTCTTATTGGTCATCTTTTTATAGACCGGTGATTTACAGTATTGAATAATTTCCGACCCTGCTACGTTCGCGCCTGCCACAAGAGAAATGTTCCATATAAAAAGAAAAATCCTCGACACCCTTTTGTTCTTCGATTTTAAAGAAATGTTCTGGCCAAATTTCGTGACAATCTACCAACTCTACATACCCTATTAATTCATTTAAAGAGATAGTACTCTCGCGAAAAACTATTGCAAGTTATCGCCGTTAAAGAATGGTAAACATGTCACGCCTTTACTCGGATGTATGTCAACAGAATATGCCGCCAGCCAATGAAATCATGGCACCCCTAACGTTCACGGCAAGTGAAATGATTTTCGCGGGAATCCTAAGACAAGAATGGTCTAATAGTCACGTTTTTCTTGTTGAACTTCACTGAGCGTGCATTTATAGAGACGTCTTCACCGCTCATGAGAACTAGGGAAAACCAAGAGGAATAAGCGTGGTACGAGTATGCACGATCCCTTACCGCTATTGGTCAAGGTTGCCTTCTTGTCTTCCAGAAATTCCGTTTTTGTCTCCGGTCCTGGGACGCGTTTCTCGAAAGCCCCGGAAACTTTTCGGGCCCGTAAAGCCATTTTTAGTTCATCTGTATCTAAAAACGGAGAAGTGTATACGCTTGAAACTTCTTGTATGAACAGAACCTCTGTTCATATTAAGAATATGTAAATAAAACAGCTCTGTAATCGTAAGGTTCGAGATTTTGCTAAGGCTTTCCGGGCCCGAAATGTTTCCGGGGCTTTCGAGAAAAGGGCCCCTGGCTTCGATTTTTTCGCTGTCCAAGGACTTTTCTCTTCCTTTTTTTAGCACGTTTCATGACCTCATAAGGAGTGATAGATAGCAAAGAGGAACGAATTAATTCGAGAACACAATTGAGAAATAGCGTGTTACAAAATAATGCTAATAAGGCCCTTGTAATAAGAGCTGCCGGAGGAAGCAGTTTCGCGCAAAAGTTGTCTAGGCGCTATGAGGATTATATATGACACCTAACTGTTACTAAAAAAACTTTTTGTCTAAATACCTCAAGCGCGTTATAAAGTTTTACTCTCATTTTCTGGGAAATGTTAGATTTTACAGCGGCCTTTTTGTTTTGCTTGAAAAGAAAACTGAGACAAAAGTAGCACTCTCAAGGTATTGTGTAACCTTAAATTAATGGTTAAATTAAGTGTATTCTTTTCGAGAAAAGCTGATTGTCGAAAACCATTTTTCATAAGTGTACTCTCTCAACCACAAAAGGCGGTTGTCGTGAACATTTGGCGTAAAACTTAACTTTCTTGTAAAAAAAGTGTTATGCGTTTCTTTGTCGTTCAAGTGAAACAAAAAAACAAAAGCCAAGTGTGAAAACATATTCATTTGCAAAAGCCAAGTATGTTTTTGAAGTTCATTTTTTTCTTCTTAGAAGGCACCTAAAAGCACACTGACTCTGAATGACTATAAAGTTGGGTTAAATTCAAATCACTCTAATTTAGTGTGTTTGCTTTGGAGATTCGAGAAAGTCTGCGTTCAAACATGGTGGCCCATCAGTTCGACGTTCATCTCCGGTTTGTCTGACTACAATTATTTATAGATCTACACCCCCCCCTTCCCCCCGCCCCCCCCCCTGTGCATGGAAAGCTAGTTCACCGAAAGTTACTCCTCCAGCAGTTAATCACCATTCTAATTCATCAGAATATTTTCTTAAACTTTCCTGCGTGCCGTACATTTATCACTCGTTACTCACTCCGTTTTGCTATTTGCCACAACTACTTAGTCAAGAAATGCAGTTTGTCGTTACTGCACACAACTGATGTGTCCTTACTTACAGTGGATGGATGTAAAAATTACACAGTCCTGAGTGAGGCAGATCGCGCTCAAGGACACATAGTGATCAACAGCAATTATAGATGCGATAGGGATGACCTGGTACCACGTTGGTATCGTTTCCAAGGAGCTGCCGGAGATCAGATGGCGGACAAATGTGTTCCCGAAAATCACTGCGGTACTCACTACCCAGGTTGGCTTAATGGCACACACCCGACAGTCGCCGAAGGTGTGGTCACTCGTAGAGTCTGTTATCATAATAGCTTGTTAAACTCCTGCTGTGTTTGGCATGACAATATCAGAGTAAAGAACTGTGGTGCGTATTTCGTGTACGAGTTACCGAGGCCGCGTTACTGCTACACTCGGTATTGCGGTAACAGAATCGCAGGTAAGTTTCTCAGGATGTTTTCAATTGTTTCAGTCAGCAGTTAAAACATCAAGTTACAGTAAAGATTTAAATTTGTTCAGGCAACACGTTTTTACTGTTGCTGGACATTTTAAATTCATGGCTAAATTAATTAATTGCATTCTTTTGGAGAAAAGGTAATTATCGAAAACCACTTTGCATAAGACTTCCCCCTGTCAAGTAGTTTTCAAATTGATAATTATTTTTAACTTCCTTTTCTATAAATTTCTCTTTTGAACTTGTTGATGACCTATTCCGGGTTTCCAGCCTTTTTTGTAAATATTGATTCCTGAGTGTTTTCATTATAACTAATAATGCATTCTTGATGTGCGGCTGGGTTGCTGGTTCTTTTACTTTACACTTGTTATTGATTTCTTCTTTCTGCTGTATGTCGAAGAAAGGTGTATATTTTGTTTTCCATTGAAATGCTTCACGTAATAAAACATTGTTACAGGAATGCTTCAATCTTTGCCAGTAACTGAAGATTGATGTTTTTTTGTGGATGCTTAAAGGGTAACACCCAAGCTCTGCACTATTATCTTCTATTCTAAGGCCTTATCCGTCCCATGGGGCAATGAGGAACGATGGTGATGATGATCTTCTATCCGCAAAATAAGCAGCACCTGTAAGGTTTAATTGCTTCTTGAGGATTACCTAATTGTTATAAACATCAGTCAATCTCGGCTAATTTTCTTGGCTTTAACTAAATAACTTTACTGTAACTTCGATAGTCGCAAAGCGCACGCCTTGTTTCATCAGTTAACAAAGTGCAAAGCAATGAATCTTTTACAAATACGGTCACATGGTACAAAACCTAGCAAGCTACGTACTGGAGAAACAACAAAGAAGCATCAAGTTTGACTGATAGAATGAAATAGTTTTATTCTGTGAACTGTCGTATCACAGGTTATAAAAGTTTTCTACTACTGTATTCCGCCACTATGTTTTGCTGATCATACCTGCCATCCCGCTCCACTCAATATAATGTTTATCCCGATCCGGCCTGGTTAGAGTTGCAGTTCTCCGCATAACGTCTTTAACCTGCGATTTGCTGTCTTTTATCGCACCGTCAATTTTAAAACGCGTCACGCCTGTCAAAATGAGCAAATCCCGCTCTTGTCGAAATATTTTTATCTCGCATCCTGCCATTGGAATTTCTGGCATCCCGCATCCCGTGTTCCTTTTTACTTCCATTCTGCATCCCACCAAAGCCATGTTGGACCCTCGTATCGGTTTTGCCAGTCAGCATTGCGGATTCTCTACCACGTGACCACTTGTTGCAAAGGGTCAGTTGGCTCATTTTAATTCTTGTCTGTTTTTTTTCTTCAGTCGTCACTTGCCATGCGCTGCCCTCAACGCCCAATAGCCTGCGATATGGTTGCACTGGGAATTCATCAGAGTATCCACACGACACTATCTGTAGATTCTCGTGTTTTGACGGCTATAAAGCCATTGGTTCTAACGAACGAAGATGCCAGCAGAATGGACTTTGGAGTGGAGGAGAGTTTTCTTGCCAGCGTAAGTACAAGGGAGGTTAAAGTAACTTCACTTATCAAATAGATTACTATCAAAATTTTCTTCTCTATTTATTCTCCATTTAGCTGTCACGTGCCCGAGGTTGTCACCGCCGTCTAATGGCGAGCTATTAGGATGCAATACAACAAAGATGTTATACAAAACCGTATGTAGGTTTTCTTGTAATGAAGGATTTGAAGCGAAAGGTTCAATGGTTAGAAGCTGTACAGAAAATGGAACTTGGAGTGCAACTGACGTTGTCTGCGAAGGTATTCATACAAATGGTTCAACATTGAAACCAACAGGTCGTAAACGTAATGCATATATCATTAGAGATTTTTGGAAAAACAAGCGACCTTCCAATGCTTGCAAATTTAAAATTAGTGTTTTTGTCTACTTGTAGTTTTGTATTTGAATGACACTAATGCAGCCTGCTTGACCAATCAGGGCCAAGTTTTTCTCTTTCTCAAGCAATCCTTAACACGCGAGTTTTCTCGCGTGCTAGATCGCGGCACGGGCAACATGTTTTCTTGCGTTTCTCAGGGTTACGTGTTTGAGAGCATTCGTTACCGCGTTAACATTCATGTTTTCTCCTGTTACATATTTTCCCGTGCTTCCCCGAATCTGATTGGTTATTGTTTATTTGCGGCTGCCTTCGGATTGGTGTAGAAACAACATTTTTGGTCAACTACAACTACGGCAGTCATAAGTAAATCGTTCGAGAATGTACTTAGAAAGATCAAATCCCGACATAAGGCTACCATCAGATTTTAGTATAAATTTACTAGCGTTCTATCACGAATGTCGTTCTCTTAATGGCTACGCTATTCACTATCTATTTGGCTTTAGTATAAATCTACTGACGTTTACCACGAATGACGCTCTCTGATTGGCTACGGCGCTACTCACTATCTATTCTGTTGAAGATAGTGAGTAGCGTAGTAGTGCGCGCTTGTCAACAAACTGGCAGCCGCTTCTTGGCGTTTTCGAAGTGTCCGTAAAGAGAATTTAGATAAAGTTTTGAACGACGAGTAGATTTATACTAAACAATTAGATTATTCGCTCTCAATTTCTATACGTAATAGTTGACTCGGGCTTCGCCCTCTTCAACGATGACGGGATAGAAATCTCGAGCTCATAATCTAATTGTTTGGTAGATAGTGAGTAGCCTAGGTTGTTAACAAACTGGCGGCCGCTTCTTTGTGTTTTCGAAGTGTCTGTGAAGAGGATTTAGATAAAGTTTTGAACGAC